GTAAACACAATTTTCAAACAATTAAAAGTTGATAAATATTAACAGATTTTCGTTGTATATTAAGAACAAACACTTAATAACATATTTCTATGTATAGTTGTATCTATGCTACACAGACAGCTACTACTATCAAGACATAGTCTGTAATACCTACAAAGAACTCTCCTTTTCATACATGCAGGAATGTTGCAATATGTTTGACAAAGATGATAATGGTAGGAGAGCGGGTATCTCCATGGATAATGGAGGTGTGTGTGGGGTGGGCTCAGAATACGTCAGTGGATAGTGATGGTGGATTCTGGAGTGGGTGGGGGTGGGGAGTGGGTGGCGACACCTCAATATGTGGAGTGAAAGTATAGGTTGGGTTACATGTGGTTGTGTGGGGCTCTATGGATTCATAAAGACGGAGAGAGAGTTGGGTAGGATGGGTACCTCTCCACAGGTTGGATGAGGGTGATGGAATACTCATATAAGATGGATCACATACCTTAAATAACTTATCCCCCCAAAAAGGGCAACCAACTCCCCACCACTGTTCAACACACACAATGATTACACTGCGAACATTTAAACTGGAATCAGTTCGTCTCAAGGTGAACCATATTATCTGCAGGTGATATGAGATGGCAGCTTACAACCCTGGATTCCAGTCCACAAGGCAATCTCTGGGATCATCTTAGTGGTAAGATCACTCTGTAGAACAAGGACCCGGTATAGTACAAGTCTCATGCATGTATAAAGGGTGGAAGAATACAGCTAGGACACACTGGAAGCACAGTTGGTCTACAGGTGTGTACAGGTGTGTACAGGTGTGCAGGTCCTAATGAAGTAATCAAAACAAGACACTTTACCATAAGCACCACAGTCGGCAAATGATAGCAAAACACATGAATCCAAACACCTCATCAACAATTCATGTTTCCATGGCAACACACAACAGGAACTAAAGGTATAAAATATTAATGCATGTATTTTTATGTGGAAATGTAATATCATTTGATGGTGTTGAATGTTAGATGACAACAGTCTTGTTTTCCTTAGTGTCAACCTGTCTCAGTCACACATACAGAAACATGCTATCTACCACAGTATTCACATCAGGTAGATCCTGTGAACGATCTCTTGGATATTGGAAATAAACATCTTATCCCTTAACAATCAGGGGATTTATTCTGATATACATGATCACAATTCTGAGTACAGAGTTAGGATAACTGATTTTTTTTCTATTTTCATATGGAATTTTCCAGAGTTTCTTGACTTATATCAAACATGTGTCATAAACAATAATAAAAATATTTAGGATATTCTTCCAGCTCTCAACAGACTAATCATTTGTTGTCGAAAACAACTTGGAATTTCTAAAATAAATATAAAAATTGCTTACAATTGTAGGTTCAAGATACCATTTCAGTTAAGGCTGAATACAACTATTGATTTAAAACACTCTTTATTGATGGAAACCACTATATAAGCCCCTGGTAATCCATGATATTTAAAAAACATTTCTCAGAGGAATATATCTTTCTGCCCTCCCAAAATTAATGTTGACATAACAAATATACAGAAAAAATGTTTCTTTTCATCATTCATCAAATAGAAGATAACTGGAGGAACAAATGACTCATGTGGATGCATCATTGAAAAAACACATCTACAAAATAAGTCTCCAAAACTGTTAAATCAAATGTACATTGCAAACAATGAAACAATAATAATTGACTTTAAGATTATGCAAATGTAACAATAATTAATAGCAGAGAGACAGAATTACAAGGTTGACTGATAATTTTAAAAACAAACAATTATCCTTTATGCACATGTTTTACTAATCTAATTGACAAAAACTATTTTGATTGTCAACATAAAGAAAGGAATTCCACCACTGCACACTCTTCATATCCTACTGGTTTCTTGACAGGAACACTTAGGAGTTACATCAAAGGGTATTCTCTGTGGAAATTTCATTCTGTCCTGTATGGTATAACAACGAAACCTTGTTAATCTGGACAGTACTTAAACCTTGTTAATCTGGACAGTACTTAAACCTTGTTAATCTGGACAGAAGTACACCCAATGAAATCAACATACAAGGCCCAGAGTCACAGGATATGTGTTATTTGAGAGGCTAGTCAAATTTAACTGTTGTAATCAGTGTATGAAATATGGCCCGTCCGACAGCCCGAGACTTTCCCGAGGTTAGATTTCAGACAGACGGTCTAGATTTACAGCTAGCCAGCCGGATGGTCTGGTAACTTTTTTTTAGATGTTATATACATGTGTGTCATATCTTGGTGTCTGGTCTGGTTAAATCCATTTTGGACTGGTAACAGCACTGATGTCTGGCTGGGGTTTTGGCTTATTTCATACACTGTTGTAATATGATACTGTGAATTATATTGTAGGTAGTTTAAGATTCAGAAATAATAGCTTCTCAGATTTTTTGGGGTGCCTTTGAAATCAATAATTGGGTAAGAAGAAATCACTAACCTCTTATGAAGATTTTTGTCCTTAATTTTTCAAACCTGTACGAAATACCCATCACTTCTTGTGATAAACAACAGGCCATCAAAACAAGGAACAACAATTTGATGATGTACTACATGTCCAAATACATCCAGGTTATGTATCCTCTATATTTCAAGGGCTTTCATTTCGGTAACCCACACTAAATCCTGGATTCATTCCCATGGTTCTTGATTCTTGACTTTCATCAGCCCCACTGACTGAGTTTGGTTTCACGCCGCTTTTAGCAATATTTGCAGGAGACACCTTCACACATTATACTCATGTGGGGATTCGAACCCGTGTCTTCGGCGTTCATCAGCCACACTACTCACTCTAATGGACCAATGAAAATAAGAGTTACAAATCAATGTTGGATTGATGATAACAACATGGCATCCAATCGCACTGATTTTGAAGGTTTGCAAGAAATTCAACGTCGAAAAAGACTCTATTGATGGAAAGGATGTCTTCAAAATAACAAAATGGAGTTGGCAAGTCCTCGGTTTCCCATTTTCTTTTCTTTTTTTATCATGACATTTGATTGGTTAGTGATATGTTAATGAAATCAAGGGCAGGTAATCAGAAATCACAAGACCCATGGTTATGAACGCAGTTGTTAGATGAATTACATCAAGCTTGATTGCAAAATAACGACAGGCTCATCCAAAGAAACAACCAGACTGCAATAAACACTCAACAGTACCTATATAATATCAGGTCAAGGAAACAAGAAATACATGTTACATATTCTAACATGTAGGGAACATCTCTTCGAATTACATTCTTTACAGCTCGTATGAAACAGTATTTGGAAGCAGCAGAGTAAGCAAGGCAACAGAATGAAGACTCCAGCCCAATATCTCAGTACTATCTATTACAGATTTTACAGATTGAACAGCAATAATATTTTGACAAAAGATACCACATACTGAAACTTCCATATATCATATGATTGTAAAATTTGTACCTTTGACCAGGATGACACAATCGTATATACAGTGATGTTTAGTGATGTTAACTTGTTCTGTTACAATTCACTTGCATGTTCAGTGAATCGAAGCATATCAATTCCTGAATTCAATTAAATATTCCTGATCACAAGAAACGAATATTCATGAATATTTTTTTAATTCAAAAAGGAAGGTTTTCACTTGAATTTGGGTGTTTATTTATCAAAAACGATGTATGCAAAATGGATCTTTCCAAGCCAGGCTGAATAAGAGCCAACGCTCTTATATTTAATGTGACAGTAATGTGGTCACTGGTCATTGAAGTGATAAATTGTGTCAACATTGTCAAACTATGTGAATTAATTATTTTGTTATTATTTCACAGAATATCATGAAATGGCATCATAGTGGATTAGTTGCGGCCTTAATGTTTACCAATAGTACCATTGTCAAAATAATGTGGTTGAATGAAAATTTCTTGAAAAGGATGGTTTCTTGAAAGAAATATGAATCTTTTTGATAGTCAATCCAAGAGTTATCTCCCTTCCTCTACAGACATACTTTGTACCTTTGTTAACAGATATCTAAAGAAATGTTTCATTTCATAACTGCAGAATGGGTCCACAGATCAAGCGATGAAAAACAATGCTTTACAAAATACTCTCTCCAGCAACAATAAGAAAATTCACATATCTGTCACACCTCTCACAAGAAGGCATATCGTTCAGCATCACAATATCACAGATTGGAAGTTGCTACTCTAGTCACCAGTCTACCCCAGTCCCAACACAGCAGCGACTATCTAGTAACACAGCTAGTTCACAAATAAAAATATTCTCCAATCAGAATCATAAACATACAGCAATACCATCCCATTCAGGATTTTTTACAAAACATTCCTTCTATTTTATCACCACAATATCACTGATTTCCCATCAGCTCCTTGGTTTCATGCCTCAGAACCTGACATGTGTTATCAAACCCATGAAGCTTGTGTATTGACAAGCTGAATGTTCACATTTAAATATACCATTCTCATTTTACTAGTGGGACATAAATCACCTCTGGTATTTAACATGTATTTGTCCAAACATTTGTTCAAGACTTCATATAAAATATTAAAATCTCAGGTATTTGGAAATGGTCAAGTTCAAAAACTGTATTATCAAGAGGGAGAAATAGTTTTAGTGAGGGGGTAGAAATAAAAAAAATTCATTTAGCAGGTTTATATACCTTTCCTTGTCAATAATTTAGTCTGTGCTCAAACAAGTTCAATGGCTTGCTCAGCTGAAGGAACAAGCCCTGAGGAGGGTGCTGACCTCTAGCTGATGATTAAAGTGGGTTGTGCGTGGGATATATTATATGCACACTATTCATCAAGTAACAGTGCTTCCCAGACCTTCATGATAAACTGTCAGTGTGTGTCTGAACAAAAAACAAATTCAAAGGGAGGCAACTGTGCAGGTGAGTGTTATTGTACCTGTAATTTGACAACTGCATATGCAAATTTGTTTCTTGCTCCACAATAAATTCTGAATTTGCTACAGTTGGAGAATAATTTTATTCAATAAACATGACCTTATGAAATACAAATATACAAATGACAAAATTTGACTTTTCTCCACATTAATTCCCTGAAATACTTGATCACAGATAGCTGAGTTGATTCTTAGCAAATCTTTCTTAGGAGTTGTTTCAAATTTTATAAGGTATCTCTGTATCATAACTGTTGTCAAAACAACCTCTGATCTAGCACAAAATAGCCTGAAAACAAGAGCACTTGTTCCCACACAATAAAACACCTTTAAACTATTGAGACAACCCCTATCTGTCGCTTGACTGACTTAGAAGGCACCGACTGGCAGCCCATCAGAACCTGTAGCCATAGTAGTCAACGTACTGGAACGACTGGGAGTTGCGGATGGCCCGCAGCAGGCTGGCTGACCTGCGTGAGCGTTTGGCAGAAATACGAGCTGAGCGACTCTTCTGTCTCTCCACCGCCTTCAGTTTCCTGCTCTCTATGTTCTTCTTCTTAACCCACCTACAGAACAAGAAGCACATGAGTGAGAGATGGAGAGTGACAGTCATTGAAGATGAGGTGAGGGGAAATGATGGGGTTTAACGTTGCACTTAAGAATATTTCTCTCATATGACATGAATGAGTGTAAGGTGTGTGGCTGCTTGTACTAGCCAAGACTGAAGCTGGTTTTATAGTGCCAGCTCACTGAGGTACCATACCGCAGTTGAGCATGAATACCCCACACAGACACAATATACTGACTTCGAGCTGACAAGTCCTTGTTGTACCCATTAATGCCGAGCACCAGGCAGGGACCAACAAGTACCATATTTTAACTTTTTGGGGTATGACGCGTCCAGGGATCGCGGCTGCGACCTTCCACTCTCTGGGTGGTCGCTCTAACCACTGACTGAAGAATGAGTGATGGAGACTATAAGTGATGGATACTATAAGTGACTGAGAGTGAGTGAAGGGATATTGATGGAGAATGAAGGAAAGTTATAGTGAGTGAGAGTGTAAGTGATGTCATGAATATCGCTTGTAAGCGGGGTAACATTAAAAATAATAGAAGAGCGCTCAGCCAATCAGAAAACAACATTTATGTGTGAGGTAAGAAAAAGGTCCATATAACACATGCTGGCCAATGGCTGATCGCATCATGACCCGATACAGTGTTACTGAGGTAATCAGCCTGTTCACAGGTTCATGTAAATTATTTAGAGACTGTCATCGCGATCATGATATAGACCATATTGGTAAACCAAACACACAAATTCATCATGTACACAACTGAGTAAGTAAATGGTGAGCCCAGTCAGCATTATTCCAGTTATAACCCTGCATCCAGTACATAATCAGCCTGGCAAACTAGTGGTTCACTGCTTGTCCAATGATCCAAACTTGGGTAGCTCATTATTGCCATCTGATCTTCCTCCAGGGGAATGGGGACATTTCTGGCTCAGAATCCTAGAGGGCCAACAGTGAGTGTGTGCAACATTTGTGTGAGTGAGCGAGTGAGGTTTTACGCCGCTTTTAGTAATATTCCAGCAATATCACAGCGGGGGACACCAGAAATGGGCTTCACACATTGTACCCATGTAGGGACTCAAACCTGGGTCTTCAGCATGACAAGCGAACGCTTTAACTCTACTGTCCTGGACATGAGTTAGTGATGGGTGGGGGTCATGTAATTTCCCCAAAATATCGATCTTCATGAAGCATGGATTTTCATTGGTTGAAATAATTCTTCCAGAGTATACTGTAAGAAATCATTTCAGGCCTCAACTGTTCATTTTTGAACACATTTAATACACACAAAACCCCCAAAACTGTTCATTTGAAGTCATGACTGAGATACTGAGTTTAGTTTACCAACAAAACCTATTCCAGCAATATCAGATGTGGGTTGTTGTTGCCAAACAAATGTCCTCCAAATGTTAAAGATGACACAATGATAAACTTCCTGTTAATGACACAATGATTGATAACTATTGGCTCGAAAAAGGACATGTGGCAACTATAGCATCCTGACAAAGACTTACTCTTTAAATGCTCTGTCACACTCGTCCCGCGACACAGTCTGGTAGCCATCCTTCATCTCCTGGTCCTCACGATGCTGCAGCAGCTTTTCTCGACGTATCTGAACACGCTTCTCCTTCAGCCATACTCGGAATGCTGCCTCGTTCTCTTCCTTCTGAAACAAACCGTGCCATTAGCACAAGAGCATACATCAAGTTTCATACTCCCAAGCAACTCTTGTAATATCTGGATACCTCTGAGTACACATAGAAGACAGTGTTAATGAAGTCCCATATGCAAGCTTCAATGATACAATAAAATTGGGCTTTTATTGTCTCAAACTCCTTGAGACTTTACTGATGCAAGGAATGAGTGAGTGAGTTCAGGTTTATGCAAGCAATATCACTGTGGGTGACATCAGGAATGTGCTTCACACATTATGCCCAGATGGAGATCAAACCCAGGCCTTCGGCTCGATGAGTGACTCTTTAACCACAAGACTACCCCAACTAATACAAGGAATGACTACAATGCAAAGGATCAGTCATCTGTGAACACTATTAAAAACATTTTACCAGTAGGTGTGTATAAGATAGAGCCATTAGGTTCTGTAGCTCACAAAATATTTAGAATATCACAGATGAAATACTACATTTGCACACAAAACACCAGAGGTCTAAAAAGGCTAAAACAAAAACATGAAAAAGACACTTTTTACTTATTCTTTCTTCATACTGACAGCTAATATTTTAAAAACTAAAAAAACCACCTCTGGACCTGCCCCTGGCAATGGTAGTTTTGGTACCACACACTGTCCTCATGAGGAGAAACTGAAAACAGATCTTCATTGTGATAGGCCATTGCTTAAACCAATGTAAGCCCAAAAAGAAAAGCACACATAAAATACAATGGCTGTCATAAGTCATCAATGTATCAGTGCTATAACTGCTATAACTCAAGGAGGAAAGACATGTATAATACTATGGGCATCACAAGTCATCAATGCTATAACTGCTATAACTCATGGGGAAAGACATGTATAATACTATGGGCATCACAAGTCATCAATTCTATAACTGCTATAACTCAAGGGGCATAGCCATGTATGATACTATGGGCATCACAAGTCATCAATGCTATAACTGCTAGGGGAAAGACATGTATAATACTATGGGCATCACAAGTCATCAATGGGCGATAACTCAAGGGGAAAGACATGTATAATACTATGGGCATCACAAGTCATCAATGCTATAACTGCTATAACTCAAGGGGAAAAGACATGTATAATACTATGGGCATCACAAGTCATCAATGCTATAACTGCTATAACTCAAGGGGAAAGACATGTATAATACTATGGGCATCACAAGTCATCAATGCTATAACTGCTATAACTCAAGGGGCATAGCCATGTATGATACTATGGGCATCACAAGTCATCAATGCTATAACTGCTAAAACTCAAGGAGGAAAGACATGTATCATACTATGGGCATCACAAGTCATCAATGCTATAACTGCTATAACTCAAGGAGGAAAGATATGTATAATACTATGGGCATCAAAAGTCATCAATGCTATAACTGCTATAACTCAAGGGGGAAAGACATGTATAATACTATGGGCATCACAAGTCATCAATGCTATAACTGCTATAACTCAAGGGGCATAGCCATGTATGATACTATGGGCATCACAAGTCATCAATGCTATAACTGCTATAACTCAAGGAGGAAAGACATGTATAATACTATGGGCATCACAAGTCATCAATGCTATAACTGCTATAACTCAAGGAGGAAAGATATGTATAATACTATGGGCATCACAAGTCATCAATGCTATAACTGCTATAACTCAAGGGGGAAGCCATTGTAAAATACTATGGGCATCACAAGTCATCAAGTCATAAATGCTATAACTGCCATAACTCAAGGGGGAAAGCCATGTAAAACACTATGGGCATCACACGTCATCAAGTCAAAAATGCTATAACTGCTATAACTCAAGGGGGAAAGCCATGTAAAACACTATGGGCATCACACATCATCAAGTCATAAATGCTATGACTGCTATAACTCAAGGGGGAAAGCCATGTATAATACTATGGGCATCACAAGTCATCAATGCTATAACTGCTATAACTCAAGGGGCATAGCCATGTATGATACTATGGGCATCACAAGTCATCAATGCTATAACTGCTATAACTGCGCTATACTCTCAAGGCGGAAGGCCATTTAAAACACTAAGGGGGCATCACACATCATCAAGTCATAAATGCCATAACTGCTATAACTCAAGCGGAAGGCCATTTAAAACACTATGGGCATCACACATCATCAAGTCATAAATGCTATAACTGCTATAACTCAAGGAAGGGGAAGGCCATTTAAAACACTATGGGCATCATCAAGTCATCAATGCTATAACTGCTATAACTCATGTATAAACACTATGGGCATCACACACAAGTCATCAAAATGCTATAACTGCTATAACTCAAGGGAAGCCATGTAAAATACTATGGGCATCACACAAGTCATCAAGTCATAAATGCTATAACTGCATATAACTCAAGGGGAAAGCCATGTAAAACACTATGGGCATCACACATCATCAAGTCATAAATGCTATAACTGCTATAACTCAAAGCCATGTATAATACTATGGGCATCACAAGTCATCAATTCTATAACTGCTATAACTCAAGGGGCATAGCCATGTATGATACTATGGGCATCACAAGTCATCAATGCTATAACTGCTATAACTCAAGGGGAAAGACATGTATAATACTATGGGCATCACAAGTCATCAATGCTATAACTGCTATAACTCAAGGGGAAAGACATGTATAATACTATGGGCATCACAAGTCATCAATGCTATAACTGCTATAACTCAAGGGGGAAAGACATGTATAATACTATGGGCATCACAAGTCATCAATGCTATAACTGCTATAACTCAAGGGGCATAGCCATGTATGATACTATGGGCATCACAAGTCATCAATGCTATAACTGCTATAACTCAAGGAGGAAAGACATGTATAATACTATGGGCATCACAAGTCATCAATGCTATAACTGCTATAACTCAAGGAGGAAAGATATAATACTATGGGCATCACAAGTCATCAATGCTATAACTGCTATAACTCAAGGGGGAAGCCATTGTAAAATACTATGGGCATCACAAGTCATCAAGTCATAAATGCTATAACTGCCATAACTCAAGGGGGAAAGCCATGTAAAACACTATGGGCATCACACGTCATCAAGTCAAAAATGCTATAACTGCTATAACTCAAGGGGGAAAGCCATGTAAAACACTATGGGCATCACACATCATCAAGTCATAAATGCTATGACTGCTATAACTCAAGGGGGAAAGCCATGTATAATACTATGGGCATCACAAGTCATCAATGCTATAACTGCTATAACTCAAGGGGCATAGCCATGTATGATACTATGGGCATCACAAGTCATCAATGCTATAACTGCTATAACTCAAGGGGGAAGCCATTGTAAAATACTATGGGCATCACATGTCATCAAGTCATAAATGCTATAACTGCCATAACTCAAGGGGGAAAGATATGTAAAACACTATGGGCATCACACGTCATCAAGTCAAAAATGCTATAACTGCTATAACTCAAGGGGGAAAGCCATGTAAAACACTATGGGCATCACACATCATCAAGTCATAAATGCTATAACTGCTATAACTCAAGGGGGAAAGATATGTAAAACACTATGGGCATCACACGTCATCAAGTCAAAAATGCTATAACTGCTATAACTCAAGGGGGAAAGCCATGTAAAACACTATGGGCATCACACATCATCAAGTCATAAATGCTATGACTGCTATAACTCAAGGGGGAAAGCCATGTAAAACACTATGGGCATCACACGTCATCAAGTCATAAATGCTATAACTGCTATAACTCAAGGGGGAAAGCCATGTAAAACACTATGGGCATCACACGTCATCAAGTCATCAATGCTATAACTGCTATAACTCAAGGGGGAAAGCCATGTAAAACACTATGGGCATCACACGTCATCAAGTCATAAATGCTATAACTGCTATATAACTCGAGGGGGAAAGCCATGTAAAACACTATGGGCATCACAAGTACTATGTCTGTCACAAGTCATCAAGTCATGAATGCTTTAACTGAACTGCACAGATCAGCATTTTCAAAGCTGCAATTTTTAATAAGGTTTGTAAACATCCATAATCTCCATCTTGTGTTACATTCAAATAGTATGGTTAAAGTTTTACGTTAATGTAGAAAAAAATACTATTAATGTAGGTTATATGTTTTTCTATTTAATTCTTCATAAAGTATCCTACACAGCCATAAGTTATTGCTAAAATATATTCTATATTTTTTTACTTCTAATACATAAATGAAATGAATAGTGTAAGTATTGTTTACTTTAGTGATGCCTTATAAGCTGATCTATTCAGTGTTTGTAGAATACAGATTGAGACGGAATGCATGACATGTAAATAGAATTTACTGCATTTAATATGTTATTAGTAATATTTGGCAAGTCTGACCACTTAGTTATCGACCTGCTGTATATGGGTAATAACTAATGCACTTATCTCTCCCTACATATATACATCTCCTTTCAATCACATCTTTGAGTTTGTTTGCAGTACATATCCAACACATACTGCAAAATAATTTAGTTTACATCAGTACAATGCAAGCCAACCTGTAACACTAAAAACATCATTGTTTGTCAGTGGTGTCTGAACTATTTATGATTTTGTAATAGTTTTGACATGTGCAAAAGCCTTATTCTGTCTTATATATTGCATTTCTGCTGTCTGTTCTGACACTGATTGGAAACAGAATTCAGAACATGTATTTTTAATGTTCCCAGCCTTTATTATATCTTGGACTTGGGTCGCGGTGTGTCTTTCTGAATCTTTCATTATGTTCTCAGCGCAAACTTGGCTGGGAATCTTAGGTTGGAATGGCTGGGTGGGAAAGATAGTGTAAGTCTTTAAAATATCAAACATATTTTAAATGTAGGATGAAATGCAGGGCTCGACAGAAGTGTGAGGCATGCTTGTGGAAGAAAAGCGGTAAATTATGAATGGGTTGTGTTTGGGTGAAGAATTGAGACTCTGAACATGAAGGCTTAATTCAACTTCCACTCAGTATCTACAGCGGATAGCAGAAATTCAGTATGTGAGATAAAATAACTTGATAAATCTGACATGTGTTTTAGGTAGTGGTGGTCCGATTAATTGAAATAGTCGAAGATTGATCGATCATACTTTTTTCATAATCGAACAACACAAACAATCCTGGAACACTTGTTTTCATTGACAATATTTTTCACAAGGTTGGTTTTGTCTCTTACATTTCATGAGCACTACACACTCAGTCCAAATCATGATTGATTGACGTTCCTTACATACTAGTCATCCTTTAAAGATGCACATCCTTTTGTGCAATTTGCAAAAACATCCGAAAGAACTACGTTTTTTCTTTATTTTTTTGTGCATTAACAAACATAACCAGGAAAATTTGATAAATGATGCTAATCAATTATTTTCGATGACTGATTGGTTGTAATGAACCAATGATTGATTATGATATTTTAACCAACTCCCAACACTAGTTGCAGGAAGTCTTTGATCACCATATGATTGGCATCTGCAATAGAGATGTGTCTAGGTGTTTGTTGAATATACTCCAATACCTATTGCAACATATCTCCTTGTCAGTGAAACAACGTATATACATCTACTGGCACTAGAACAAACAGATAGATATATACATCACATAGAAGCATCAGAGAGCCAACACAAACAGAAGCACAAATACACAGACAGTCAAAATGCCATGAAAATTAAAGTCACTCAAAAGCAGATGGATGAAAGACTAGAGACTGGATAGTGGAATAGGGGAACATTTACCTGAAACATTACAACTATGTATACTCCAGATTTGAAATATAACCTAACAAATAACCATGATGTACTGGTTAAAAGTTCTGATTCACAAACATCATCAACATTTTTACTCATTTTGTTTTACAAATCTGTCAATTTTCAATATAAAAACCATGCTGATTAGCAGATTCACCTGACGTGATCTCCATGTTAACTATATGCAACTTAGGTATTATGTTCACCCTTCTTTTTAAAGTTCTGGATCTGATTCTGATCTCCAAAGGAGTGGATGTTATATTGTCAACCGGAAAGGTATCTAATTAGAAGGCAAAAGTTAGTCCTAGACTATTGTTTTGTGAAGTAAACTCTGTTCAATGTTAACAATGTCAACAGTCAGGCTAGAAGAGTCATGCCACAGATTTGCTCAAGAAACACCCCAAAATGGAAAGGAAGTATAGAAAGTCAGTCAAACTGGGAGGAGGAACATGATGATGGAAACCAGGAAGAAGAACCTCTAGGAAACAACACAGGAGGCAACTCTGAGCCTACCAAGTGCTTGACATAAAAATACTGACACAATATGCACTTGGTAAAAAATAAACAAACCATTCAGGAAAACAACTATTCAGGAAAATAGGATTACATCATAATGTAGTGAATGAATCAGAAATTTAATTCTTATGCTTGGCTGACATGATGTTATATAACCGGACACAGGAGTAAGTTAATCCAAATGTTCCATTATAATATTTACTAGAGCTGGAGTGATAGATCGTATAATTGGTCAGTTGATTGTCACTTGTGTCAGTGATTACCAATGAGTCTAGGAGAGTAATCAATACTCATAGGAAATTAACAATTTAATTTAACTTCAGAAAGTATGTTTATTATTGTTACGTTTGTTAAATCAAGACATAAACAACTGACTGGTAAACCTGCCATGTAAACAACATACTCGCGTGTGTTTCTCAACAGGAAGTATCCTCGATCATCGTAATCATAGCATAATTTGGTGTCTGTTTTGTTTGCACAATGCTATGATTGTGCCCTGTTATTGCAAATAGAGTTTTGTGGTGGGATTTACGATTACAACACTTATTGATAGATTACTGAGCTCTGATTATTGATCTGCATATTATGAGAGATAACCAGCACTATCATTTACCCTCAGTATAAAACATATACACATACACTACGACTATTGAGTCTAGCAACTTCACAGTCATCAAGGTTTATAATCACACTACCATCATAACACAATAGACACAACACAGACAGGACACAAGCACATGCAGCAGCTACGCCTCTAGAGACAGCGGCAACACTCGGCAGTGTACCTGGAACAACGGTTGGAAAGATTGCAGAGCTGGCTCCTCCTGTTCCAGCTGCTTCAGCTGGTTCTTCTGATTGACAAAACAGTTCAGTGGTCAGACATTTTGTATACCTGTATATACCTGTATGCCTTTCAGCCAGAAGCAATCATGTTTGGTTATTGTGGGTTTTAGTAAAATAATCTGTCTCCCCAACCCTTGAGAATACACTAAGAGGAAGTCTACTCAAGTCTAGAATGATTTCACAAGTCATTAGTTCAGTGGTCAGACATTTTGTATACCTGTATATACCTGTATGCCTTTTAGCCAGAAGTTATCATGTTTGGTTATTTTTGTTTTTTAGTTAATCTGTCTCCACTACCCTTGAGAATACACTAAGAGGAAGTCTACTCAAGTCTAGAATGATTTCACAAGTCATTAATTCAGTGGTCAGACATTTTGTATACCTGTATATACCTGTATGCCTTTCATCCAGAAGCAATCATGTTTGGTTATTGTGGGTTTTTAGTAAAATTATCTGTCTCCCCAACCCTTGAGAATACACTAAGAGGAAGTCTACTCAAGTCTAGAATGATTTCACAAGTCATTAGTTCAGTGGTCATACATTTTGTATACCTGTATATACCTGTATGCCTTTTGCCAGAAGTTATCATGTTTGGTTATTTTTGGTTTTTAGTTAATCTGTCTCCACTACTCTTGAGAATAAACTAAGAGGAAGTCTACTCAAGTCTAGAATGATTTCATAAGACTGGATTGAGTCAGCCTGAAATCAAGGACTGTTTTGGGCACCATCTGAATGTTTTCTTGTAGACATATATTTAGATAACATAACTTTATTTCTAAGTTTCATGGTTTTAAATATCCTTCCCTTGTTTTAAACAGGTTATAGAGATATTTTTTCAAAAATGGACACAGGGCAATGTTCATTGGCTGATCAGTTTTGGATAAAGTTTTTGGGAATAGCCAGAATGCATTTTGTGATTTGGCAATTTTTCCAGCAGTTGTGTTATTTTGTTAAAAATGTATCAGTTGGTTAAAATATTGTAACATGTATATTTTGAGTAAACCTGATAAGCTACGAATATTATAAATGTAGGAATGTTTGGTATACATCACACACCTGCACCTAATCTAGATATGCATATCCAATAATTCTGCTGAAATTTCATGATTGTCATTTCCTCTGAGAGAAATCAGAGAGAAAAGCTTTCTAGTCGGTCTATGTAGTACAGACAGGAGTTTTCTGTGTATAATTTAAACATTATTGAAAACAATGTACACAAAATATTAGTTGCCTTGCCATGTATGTGAACCATTGACCAATTAATCAGTTAGACCTTTAAGTTGCTGTACACAGGACCCTGATTAGTAAAGCAAAGATCTATGTACACTAAATAAGCTTAGATCCCATATGAAGATCTATGTACACTAAGCTTAGAAAGTACACTAAATAAGCTTAGATCCCACAAGAAGATCTATGTCTAAATGTACACTAAATAAGCTTAGATCCCACAAGAAGATAGATGTACACTAAATAAGCTTAGATCCCATAAGAAGATCTATGTACACTAAATAAGCTTAGATCCCAGAAAGTCAGTACACTAAATAAGCTTAGATCCCACAAGAAGATCTATGTACACTAAATAAGCTTAGATCCCAGAAAGTCAGTACACTAAATAAGCTTAGATCCCATAAGAAGATCTATGTACACTAAATAAGCTTAGATCCCAGAAAGTCAGTACACTAAATAAGCTTAGATCCCATAAGAAGATCTATGTACACTAAATAAGCTTAGATCCCAGAAAGTCAGTACACTAAATAAGCTTAGATCCCATAAGAAGATCTATGTACACTAAATAAGCTTAGATCCCACAAGAAGATCTAAGTACACTAAATAAGCTTAGATCCCAGAAAGTCAGTACACTAAACAAGCTTAGATCCCAGAAAGTCAGTACACTAAATAAGCTTAGATCCCATAAGAAGATCTATGTACACTAAATAAGCTTAGATCCCAGAAAGTCAGTTCACTAAATAAGCTTAGATCCCATAAGAAGATCTATGTACACTAAATAAGCTTAGATCCCATATGAAGATCTATGTACACTAAATAAGCTTAGATCCCAGAAAGTCAGTACACTAAATAAGCTTAGATCCCATAAGAAGATCTAGTACACTACACTTAGATAAGAAGATCTATGTACACTAAATAAGCTTAGATCCCAGAGAAGATCTATGTACACTAAATAAGCTTAGATCCCAGAAAGTCAGTACACTAAATAAGCTTAGATCCCATAAGAAGATCTATGTACACTAAATAAGCTTAGATCCCATAAGAAGATCACACTAAATAAGCTTAGATACACCAGATCCCATAAGAAGATCTATGTACACTAAATAAGCTTAGATCCCAGAAAGTCAGTACACTAAATAAGCTTAGATCCCATAAGAAGATCTATGTACACTAAATAAGCTTAGATCCCAGAAAGTCAGTACACTAAATAAGCTTAGATCCCATAAGAAGATCTATGTAAGCACTAAATACACTAAATAGCTTAGATCCCAGAGAAGATCTATGTACACTAAATAAGCTTAGATCCCAGAAAGTCAGTACACTAAATAAGCTTAGATCCCATAAGAAGATCTATGTACACTAAATAAGCTTAATCCCATCCCAAGAAGAAGTACACTAAATAAGCTTAGATCCCAGAAATCACTAAATAAGCTTAGATCCCCAAAAGTACACTAAATAAGCTTAGATCCCAGAAAGTCAGTACACTAAATAAGCTTAGATCCCAGAAGATCAGTACACTAAATAAGATAAGCCCTAAGTCATACACTAAATAAGCTTAGATCCTATGTACACTAAATAAGCTTAGATCCCATAAGAAGATCTATGTACACTAAATAAGCTTAGATCCCAGAGAAGTCATGTACACTAACAGCTTAGATAAAGTCAAGCTTAGATCCCATAAAAGATCTATGTACACTAAACAAGCTTAGATCCCAGAAAGTCAGTACACTAAATAAGCTTAGATCCCAGAAAGTCAGTTTATCAATATCACTTAGTCCCTGAACATATATAATTTTAATAGTAACAAATAAATCCATTTAAATGAAATGGAGTTTGGAGATTCAGCCTGGGGAGATCCTGACTTGATTCATTTAGGGATTTAGCATTGCAGGTAGGGTTAGGCAGTTGGGAACATAATGTGGTTCAGGGAATGTGAGACAGACTAATGGCCAAGTGAAAATCAATCCCAGGACAATCCATGGACTATTCCATGACAATTCATGAACCCTTGACAATCAAAATACAAGAACTTTTCAAGGTTTACCATTAATAATACTTAACAATAATGAATAGAATCTCACAAAAAGACATCCATATTTAACCATGAGACAATATTTTCACATTGAAGTCATTTCAGTCTTCTTTAAGGATCAGCAATGGTAAATGGAATATTGATGGGTTAGATGACACACACCATCGCCCTACGTACCCACCACCTGGCAGAACGATAACGACCACCACCTGTTAGTGACATCATGGAGGTGATTCATTCTGATAAGAAAATACACACTGCACATCAGATATAAAAGGTGCAGAAAGATTTAAAGAAAGTAACTATCTCCCCATAAGTTTTAATTCTGTGACACAAAATTAAAACTTTGACATTCATTATTTTTCACACCATGAGCATGTAAGAGAGTATTTATATAGCAAGGCACTCCCGGCACAGTTATCATCTATACTTAGATTCTGTAACTGTACAATGATTAGATTGCTCAAAGAACCTTTGTCTCAGGATTGAGATGCCATGTTTCAAGAATCAAAGAGAAAATTACCATATGGAAACAAATATTTTAGTTTTGTTTTGGACTTAAAAAGACAAACTGATATTTATTCTTTAACATCAGAGAGAAATGAGTCCATTGCATGGCATATACTATCATCCTTACCACTAGCATATGGTACAGCAACTTAAAGTCTACAGTGTATCACCCATTAGTGAGCAGCAAACCTGTTCTTGTAATACCAACATCAAAAGAGTTAAGGGGGCATCAGGTAAATCTCTATCATTTAAACTATACAGACAACTTATATTATCTTCTATTGATATAAACTTTTAAATTTACTTGTACTTTGGGGTACCATTTTTTCACTGTTTCATCCATTTCACAATTTTCTGCAGTACCAAATTTCCATAAGATAAGATAGTTCTTAGGTTAAAGCAAAGATCTATGTACACTAAATAAGCTTAGATCCCACTATTTGAGGAAATTAAACATCTAAACTATCTAATTTGTGGAATGAAAGTTCATATCTTCAAATCCATGATGACATGTTCCACACATCCCAAAGAAATCACTCAAGCAAAACTCTGATATAACCAAATAATGATGTCAGCAGAGAGAGATGTCCAAGTAGACGTCTGCAGGTTACTGTAAGGCTAGTGTTTTGATTGTCTCCCTTGAGACAATCATCTGACAGGTTAATTTGAAGTGCTCAGGGGTGTAGACATTGGAACATATTGTCTTGGGTTTGGAAGGTTGCATGTTTAGAGTGTTGGTAATTACAGGAGACTGGATGTGCAGAGGAACATGCACCATGCATATCAACACCACCAGAGGCAGCAGGTGCATCTACGTTCACACTTAAAAATGGCAAAAGAGTTATAAATTTGTAATGAAATTTCTTACTGTCAAAAGGTCTGCTTCTCCATCCGACCAATCCTGATTCGTCACCGAAAAGCAAATAAGATTCTACATCATGTACTCAAATAATTGCCAGTCCAGCGACTGCTCAACTGAAATAATATGTTACTGTTAATGGTTATCCAAGCATCTGACTGAAAAGATCTTTTGTAGAGGATTTCCCCTCCAAATATACATGTTTTATTGAAGTATGTATTTCATGAAAATTGTTCCAAATATTTTTCAACTAAAAATTGATTTTATTTAAGTAGGTGATTGATGTCGGTATCTGTAATGACTGATCTTATCATTCTTGAACCTAAACACGGAACCATGAAATTCTGTAGATGTGAACTGTGACTTGTCAAGTTAAATAAGGATACTTTGGAAGGCAGACATCAATACAGCAAGTAGAATACTTGGTATTTGTTTTCAGTACTTGAAAAGGCAGCATCAAATTTATAACTCTTTTTGAAACAAATATAGATCAGAAAGATTAGACATGGACAATACAGAAGTGATGACAATACAATACATCAGCAATGATAGCTGTACACACACACTGTAGTGAATTCCTGGGATACAGATCCCAGGAACCAGTTTACATACTATGCAAAATGTACTATTTGTTGTTATTTTATCATTTCAATTTTCTCATTTTTAAACAGTCAAACATTTTAATGGGGATAAAAGACAGTTTGAAATCCTTGATTTTGTCACACATAATACTTTGAACTGTGAAATAATTTCTTGTGTATGGGGCCCACATTTAAAAAAAGAATCTGTCTAAATAGAGGAGGTTGTGCATGGTACATGCCTACAATGAATTTTGATCTTGTTACCCTAAAGTAAAGACAGAAACTTCAATTATATCACAATGAGTCAGCTTTAAGTGATTCAGATACTAAATATCATGTGAAACTCACAGAAATTGCATGGTGAGACCAAGAATAAAGAATTGAGATCCAAACCCTGAACCTGTCTGGCAAAGGGACATAACTCTGTATAGAATGTTGCAAAGCTACTGTCTCAGTAACTTCAGGCTTCAGCATATCATATGATCTGTGGAATAATTCACAATTTACTAGCTACAGCATTTCTGTTTCATTTCTGTCCCACAATTCAGTCATGAGTCATGAGTCACAATATTTTTGGTGAATTGCTTCCCTAAGTCATGCCAGACACAGCAGAACTAACAACAACAGTAACTATCGCAATAGCCCAATACAGACGCAAACAAAACAAAAGGTCACCTTATCAGTTTGTTCCGCTTTCTTTTTCTCCTCCTGTTCCCGCTCTCGCCTCTTTCTGATTTCTTCTCTCTTCTGCTTCAACCAGGCTTGGAATGCTTCATCACTTTCCTTCTGCTCAGACTCTTTCTCCTCCCGTCTCCGTCTATCCTGATCACGCTTGTGATCCTCCATTGCCTTTGCTCGTTGCCGTGACAACTCCTTCTGTTCTGGTGACAGAGCATAAGGTGATTCGTAGGTAAAGTTATCAACTGACCTGCTCTCATTGAAAACCTGGTTTGCTGCTGACTTTGGTCGTTGCTTGTTTTGCACTGGTCGAAGTGCTCGACGATTTGTGTGACCATTCGCTGTAGCTGGTCTTGGCTGTTTAGGAGGAGAAGGTTGTTTTGATTTTTCGTGTATGTTACAATTGTTTACATTCTTCTCATTTTTCTTTGGCCCTTCCTGCTTAGCTGGAGGCTCAGGGTCAGGGTCACAGACATACATCTGTCGTTCGGTAGGAGTTAAATCGTCAGTGTTCACTACCTCAAATTTACCCTCACGTTCTACTACTACAGTCTTTTCTTCCCGTCTGTGGATTTTGAGGTCTGATTAGAGGAGAATTTGCTGGACACAACCTCACTTTCACGAGGACTTGTTGGATTTGATTTTGCTTTTTGAGAATCTTCATCATCGCTGAAGTCTGGTGGTGGGGCGACCAGATCAACAAGAGTCTCCTTGAAGCCGACCTTGTGTGCCCTCTCTCCGGGGTCAGACTCCTGGGCCAGTTCCGCGTTCAGCTGGATCAACCGGTCCTTAACATCGTACTCAGGGGGATCCTCATCTGCAACCCAGCATCAACACATCTTTCAGTCCTGGATTCTGATCCACAACATGATCTCAACACTATGATGATCGTAGTGCAATGTTTAAGTATGGTAGGTATGATCACCTTAGCGCTACAATTACTTTGTGCAAGTGGAACTTGGTCATTAGTTTCATTGTTATGGATAGGCTGCCCTTCATATATTTTATGGATAAGGTCCCAATAAATCAATCAAAAAGCTACATTTTCTCTCGAATTTGATGAAAGCGGCAATGCATATTTATATAGTTATCATATTTTAAACAAACTGTCCAAGGCAACTGAGTTTACTGTTGAACTTTAGTACAAGTATCAAAATCAGCCATTATCCCTTACTTGATGAGTGAGTGAGTTTAGTTTTACACCACTTTTTGCAATATTTCAGCAATATCACGGCGGGCCTTACTTGATGGGAAGGTACAGAAACAGATTAGTGACCATGGTGAAACAATTGACAAGGTGAAATCAACAACTGAACTCTGTCTTCCTGGATTCTATGCACTTGAACAATTGACTAGCCTTGCATGTGTTTATGACACATATCCTGTTATTATCACTGTTTTACAGTGATTCATGCTTATTATATAGTCAAAATCATGGAATCAACTTTGCTCTTGGCAGGGGATGCTTGTGGATGTAACAGGAAAGGGTTTTGTTGCTTTTCTATCATTGACACAACAGCTTCTAAATGACATGTAAAGAAATGTCAGAAAATCTTATCCCACAATGTCTTGGTATAAATGTGACCTTCTGTAAATGTCTTGTCAATCTGGTATAGACACTGCCAACTTACCTCTTATACAGTACATCACTGACAAATCATTTATTATTGGGGGCGAGTGGCAGTGGAGTGGTGTCAGATTGCAATGTATTTAGCAGACCCCTTCATTTTATATAAGGTATATTTCATAGCCTTTCAAATACATGTAACAATTCTTTATAATCCATCTACCCCAACTTCCTGTATATATATAAATTAGTAAATTACTGTCCCTATTGCATATTTTATACATAAATCAAACTATTACTCATCCTTCACCTGACTCGTGGTTTAAGGCACAGGGCCCCGTTTCACAAAGCTGTCATAAGCCTAAGATCTCGTAACATTCTTTGTAGTATTCATACCTCCTATACTGTAACATTGACTTACAATAATCATAGCGCTATGAGAGCTTTGTGAAACGGGGCCCAGATTGGTCACATCTCCATCCTCATTAAACAGCTATGCTAACTTTGTGAGAGATGGAGCCACTGATATGAGAAAGTTTAGAAACTGAGAGTAAGAGTGAAGTGTACGGAGGCGAACCTGGGAAGTCGTTCTCCTGTCTCTGTGCTAACAGTTCCATCATGGCCCGCTTCTGGTCATCACTGAAGGTGTAGTCATCCCCATCCGACGCTGACGTCTTGCTGGTGGGGGTGGGGTACTCCTTCTGACCCTTCTCAATCTCCTCAGTACCCTTCTCTGGTTGGCTGTCAGATGAATCGCTGCTCTGCTTCCTGATTGACTCCTGGACAATGAAAACATATCTGGGGAACTGGCTGAGTTGTGAGCATTGTTTTATGGAAAAATAAATGAGGCTTCAATGACAATCCATGCCAAAATCTCACCAGTAAGTTTTTAGTGCAGTTTAGTGTTATTACATAGAGACTAAGGGCCATTCATAATTTATGACTGTGATTATGATGATGATGATGATGATGATGATTTTAAGGGGGTGTCACCCATTTAGTTCTGGGGAGGTGGGGGAGGGTGGGGCATCAATTTTGTACACATGCACTAGGGGTGGGTCATCAAATTATTATTTATTTATTTTTTACTTATTTTATATATTTTTTTTAGGTGGGGGGTCACTTACTTTGTACATATATTTTAAGGGGTTGGGTCAATTTACATTGTACATAATCCACATAATCATCATTATCATCCCCCCTTTATTATAAATTATGAACAGTCCCTAAACAGAATTGTACCAGGCTCTGGCTTCAGACTACTGGCTAATGTCGTAGACTGTGATGATCAAGTCTGGGACCAGCAACCAATGCTTGATACCCTGGTCAATAGTAATGATCCAAATTGTCGAGGAAAGTCTATAAGCCATGTCACACAATGTAACCATCTAATCCTCATTTTAGAGAGCACACTGATTCAGACAAGGCACAGTTTTGTGACCCTCAATATTCCAGAAAACATGGGGGTGGATGACATTTCATGCCTGTATTTTGAACGACCTTGAAACAGGGGCAACTAAATACACGACTGGTGTTTTTCGCATGAACCTTACCTTATCATCAGCTGCCTTGTTGTCACTCTGAGAGCTGTCCTCACTGGCGATGAAGGAGTCCAACTCTTTATCAAAGTCCTCAAAGTCGTCGTCGTAGTCAGCCTGCATCTGGGAAGTGTCGGACACCTCAATACGGGGCGGCACGGCCACAGCTGCTGACATGTTTAGGCCTGGAAGTACATCCACAACTTAGATCTCATGTACCTCACACATCACTGGGGCGTTAGGGCAAGTAAACTTAAAAATCGCATTACCCAATCTGATTTGTAACTTGCCCACTAAATCTACACTATAATTAAAGACGTTTCTATATACACAAGACAATGTGATAAACCACTATCATTATCATGGGTCATGCACTAACCAAAAACATTGGAATATTATGTTAATCATGTTGTTTTCTTTGTTTCATTCAGTATATATACATCCCTCCATATCACGTCACATTTCTGCTACCCGTGAAGGTCCGGGTTAGAATATTGATCTTCAGTAACCCATGCTTGTCGTAAGAGGCGACTAACGGGATCGGGTGGTCAGGCTCGCTGACTTGGTTGACATATGTCATCGGTTCCCAATCGATGCTCATGCTGTTGATCACTGGATTGTCTGGTCCAGACTCGAAGGGCAACTAAATGATATTTTCCCATATGCTCTGCACATTATTTCCGATGATACTACCATGTAGGGCTGAACAAACCCACTATGATGCGGATATGTTACACATCATACTTCGTAAGGTTTATGAATACTTGTCACAACAATGACCAGTGACCACATCACTGTCAAATAAAGTATAATAAGAGTGTTATCGTTCTTGACTTGATATATTTTATTTTGCATGTTTTCTTTGATAAATAACACCAAAATTCAAGTAAAAACACTTTCTAAAAATTTCATGAATATTCGATTTTAGGAAAAGTTATTATATTCATGAAAGGAACGGTTTGATTCAGTAAACATGCGAATGCATGGTAACAGCACTACTGCAAAGTTATAAACATTTTGAAAGGTTACAAATAGTACTAAACACCCTAAACACGTCATAAAATCAAAAACATACCGACTACAATACAATAAACAAGACAAAATCACATGATTTGATGCAGAAGAAAATGCTTTTTTCTTCAATTCCCACAAAACCAAAATATTCATCTCCTGAATATTCACAATGGATCAAAATCACAGACTTACCAATAAATCAAATAACAAATCGAGTATAAAATTCCGCAACTTTCATGATAGTTTAACCTCCATCTTCGTTGCCCAGAGCCATCTTGACAGTTGGATGGAAACCTGGAGCCAGTCAAGGAATCCCGCTAGCAGAGTAACCACAACAAACATTAGCTCCCTCCTCCCATCCTACGTCCATGCCGTCAATCAACTCATCACCACTACCGCGACAATCAATACCGTTTCAACTTGGCAAACATGACGTTTTTCATTCCCTGGGTGTTCCAATCGATGGATAGATAAGCAAACAAACTGGACATGTCTGTCCCTCCCAACAAACAGGTAGCCTCATTCACACCTTGTTGCCTAACACTCTATACCAGGCTTGGTGCATTTATTGATTCCTCAAGACTCTATCCGATTAGCCTCTAACGTAATCTGCACTTGTCTCTAATCTGGCTATTATCCCCCGGCTTGTTGAACGTCAGCTAAGTATCTCCACTTAATCGCTACATTCGTCACCTAGACTCCTTGGGTGCAATAGGATTTATGTTTTAGCATTTTTTGCTTCTTTCTTTATGAGTTAATTGTTGGTTTGAATAGTACTTCAGCTAATTATGGTATGAGGATAAAAACTGAAAATAATTCAGGTGGTTTATTACCAGCAGCAAGATTATATTATCATCATAATCTGGGACAATAAACTCAGGATCCTGGTGCACTAAAGGGACACAAATTGGCACAGCAATGGTCATGTTGATCATATATTTGCAAAATATGTCAACAAATTTTTGATCACGATTGAACCATATTTGTACAAAACAATTACCAACATGAGTCATCAGGAGGTGACTTATATCCCTTGTTTTGTACAATTCAGAAATGGGCTTTTGTTACTTATAACAACATTTATACCAAACATTTCCTATTGGATAACTTCAGTTCGGGGGGGAAAATAGTACTGGTCAGTGTTTTTCAATATTCCAAACAATGTTTATCACTAATGACATAGGTCCACAAAATCAAGCATGCCATGGGTACATGTTAAACCCAGCCATCTGAGGTGCACAATTCCATGTGCAGAGTTGCCTCCCTTAGGTGTGACTGGAACCTCTGATTGGTTGTTCAAGTTTAGGTTTTCCCCTGATCACTGTTTCCAGGTTTGTAAGCACCACACCCATGCTCATGGGTTTCAAGTGGTAAACATCAAAGATCTCCATCACATTGGGCTGTTACATGTAATGTAACTGAAATATTATGTTCAACTTGCTGACATTTATAATATGATATCATAACTGACCAAAATTTCATAATTCCAAATTTAATTCACAAACTTATAACGAGCAGTAAGTGGCCAAACATCATGTTTTTAACGATATTATGCCTGATAAGACAAAATGTAATAAAGATTAAAACAGAACGTCATAATACACCTTAGCCATGCAGTGTTCATGAATGGTGTTTTAAAGTAACAAGACATTGGGTCCTGTAAGTTTCAGATGTCTGTCTGACCCATTGAAAATTCACAGGACCCATAGACTAAAATTAAATAAACATTTCAGATTTAACATTTCTCATAATTGGCATTGAAATTATTAACAAACATAAGATTTATAAACAGCAAACAAGTGTCATATGTCACATATAACAACTTCAGTCAAAGTCACTGTGAAATATACAGCCAGACACTGGGGTCGGCGGTTGTAGACTTCTATCGGACCGTTGGCGAATCTGTCGGATTTGGCAGAGGGTCAGACGCTATTCGTGAACACTGAGCCATGTACTTGCCAAAGGGAGATAACTCCTAACAAAAGTCACATGTTACCCTTGCCCGTGACAAGTGACTGGTTTTATGATTTTTGAACGGAGTTTTACATGTTTAATCAAATAGGTATATAACATGATACCCAAGAAGCTAGCCAGCCTTTCAAACAAGTAACTGAAAAACAATTCAGAACAAATCCCTAGCAATATGACAGTTGTGTCACAGTTACAATAAACTGGCTTTTGACATTGATCTGACGAATTAGTTGCTGCAGTGTACTGCCTGGTCCACAACTGAAATAAAGGCATGATGACCTATGTTTATCCATTTCCCTCCAAAACAAACCTACATTAGTTCATATTGTAAACCTATCTGGATCTCTAATCTTCAAACATTATGCCTCAGTTAATGACCCTTATATCTTTGCATGACAAACAGTATCATGATGTCTGCCTATAGACTACTGACTACCTAAAACTCCCATTAAATTTCCAGCCTCAAGCTGGCAACCCATATATAATACTACACGTACAACTACCTACAACAATACTTGATAAGAACAATCAGTTGACAAATAAAAGGTTGTTTGACTTGTGGAGCTTGTGGCAAGATCTGAGACAGATAACACCGGTATATTTGAATATATTTATTTCACCTCAGTGAGCAGTTGGCCACAATGCAATGTCAGACATGTCTGAACGTGACTCCAAATTTCTGTCATAGAAAGTCATTGTAATGTTTTAGAGAAATCTTGCTTGCCTTGTTGAGTATTTGGCTAGGGTCTACTGCAAACCAGGATGTTCATTAAGAAAACACACCAGGCTAAGCAACCACATGTTACAGTCAAAGTGTAAAATCACACAAATTGTAAATTGCATGAAATTTTCAGTCAATTTGTATATTGTCTGATTTACTCAGTCAGTTCGTAAATTGCCTCAAAAATAAGTCAATTTATTTGACAGATTGACATATATACATCAATGCATAATCCTATAGAGGTACTGAAATTCTAATCTGTTCTGCTATAGAAAGTACATGTACCTTTGAAATGTTCCCATAATTCCAAAATGCATGTTCACATTTTCTCGTGGACGTTCCAGACTCCAAACCCACATGGGACTCACAGCAAACAATAAAGTTGACATGATTGTGATGTGACGGTAACCAAGGTCAACAAGATATAGTTTAGAAACAACATTCACAACCCATTATTCACGTCACACAAGTATTAAAAAGAACATGTATGAAACTATTACCACACACATTTTACAAGCAAGATTGTAAATTGATTCTCCTCCAATTGCAATTGTCAAAACTGAAAATGAAAGCACACACCAATACAATACACGCAAACCTCATCAGCCTGGGAGAATTGATTGTGACTCTATTGAAATGTCTTTTCAAGTTGCTGCTCTAGCATACAGCTTGACAATAGGTCTGGAACTGGGGAACTCTCTCTTGCTCCAGTCCAGTTTTAGTTATGTGTTCCAAACAAAACTCGGCTTGAACACGGTCAGTGGCCTTCATTCACATGTGTAACAAAGCACAAAGAGAACTGTTTTCAAGCATAGCAAACTCAAATGTTTTATTCAATAATATCTGATTGGGTTATAGGTGGTACCTTAACAACTGGTGTTATGTTTTGATGGTACTCACACCTAAATCTAAAAAGCAAAACACAGCCACCTAAACATACAGAACACTATCCCTGCTGCACCTAAACATACAGAACACTATCCCTGCTGCACCTAAACATACAGAACACTATCCCTGCTGCACCTAAACATACAGAACACTATCCCTGCTGCACCTAAACATACAGAACACTATCCCTGCTGCACCTAAACATACAGAACACTATCCCTGCTGCACCTAAACATACAGAACACTATCCCTGCTGCACCTAAACATACAGAACACTATCCCTGCTGCACCTAAACATACAGAACACTATCCCTGCTGCACCTAAACATACAGAACACTATCCCTGCTGCACCTAAACATACAGAACACTATCCCTGCTGCACCTAAACATACAGAACACATCCCTGCTGAACACTACACTAAACATACAGAACACTATCCCTGCTGCACCTAAACATACAGAACACTATCCCTGCTGAACCTAAACATACAGAACACTATCCCTGCTGCACCTAAACATACAGAACACTATCCCTGCTGCACCTAAACATACAGAACACAGAACACCATCCCCTGCTGCACCCTAAACAT